CAGAGCCGCTCCAATACAGAGAGCCGCTCCAATACAGAGAGCCGTTCCAATACAGAGCCGCTCCAATACAGAGAGCCTCTCCAATACAGAGAGCCTCTCCAATACAGAGAGCCTCTCCAATACAGAGCCGCTCCAATACAGAGAGCCGCTCCAATACAGAGAGCCGCTCCAATACAGAGAGCCGCTCCAATACAGAGAGCCGCTCCAATACAGAGCCGCTCCAATACAGAGAGCCGCTCCAATACAGAGAGCCTCTCCAATACAGAGAGCCGCTCCAATACAGAGCCGCTCCAATACAGAGAGCCGCTCCAATACAGAGAGCCGCTCCAAAACAGAGCCGCTCCAATACAGAGAGCCTCTCCAATACAGAGAGCCGCTCCAATACAGAGAGCCTCTCCAATACAGAGAGCCTCTCCAATACAGAGAGCCGCTCCAATACAGAGAGCCGCTCCAATACAGAGAGCCGCTCCAATACAGAGAGCCGCTCCAATACAGAGAGCCTCTCCAATACAGAGAGCCTCTCCAATACAGAGCCGCTCCAATACAGAGAGCCGCTCCAATACAGAGAGCCGCTCCAATACAGAGAGCCTCTCCAATACAGAGCCGCTCCAATACAGAGAGCCGCTCCAATACAGAGAGCCTCTCCAATACAGAGAGCCGCTCAAATACAGAGAGCCTCTCCAATACAGAGAGCCTCTCCAATACAGAGAGCCGCTCCAATACAGAGAGCCGCTCCAATACAGAGCCGCTCCAATACAGAGAGCCGGTCCAATACATAGAGCCGCTCCAATACAGAGAGCCTCTCCAATACAGAGAGCCGCTCCAATACAGACTGTACTCGGTGGTAATAGTGAAGGATAGGGTTGTGAAGGTGACCACAGTGGAATCACAGCCACTAACTCCCTGCTCTATGTCATTCCATATTGACATATGCAGCCAAGCGCGGGGAGGGGGGTCAGCCCCATTTTCCAGCAGGATGAAAGTGAGAGACTCCTGGCCAGGATCATGCTCACCCAGGTGTTATTTCTGTCCACTGGGAATGGGAGCCCTAAGGACCAGAGCTGGTAGAGAGAGAGGATACTCAATTTACAGTAAACAAAAGGCAAACTCATATTTGACAATATAGACTAATGACCTATTTACCTTGAAACTTATGTGTTTGAATATCAAGCAGTAATTAACACCACTTCCCAATTGATTCATTCCTATGTTGAACCACGTAGCCTACCAATGAATGTAGCCTGGATCAAGCCAACACTGACGTTGCTTCAATTAAATGTAAAGGCCATTTATAGTTAATTTTCTTTCCATATCAGTCATACTACTGCACCTTCAAACTACTGGCAGTGATCTTTGATAATAACCAGAGGCGGAAGGCATGCAAAACATGGAGGGCAGCTCACAGTACCATTTTTAGCCATCCAATGTGATATAATTAGCTCAAGTGTCTATCACAGTCTGTTTCAGTGGCTGTTAAATAACTCCAGGTGCGAGAGCAGCACATCTCCCCCTATCGGAGGCAAACAACACTGCTGAACTTGACCTGAGGAGGCCCACTCCTCCTCCCACCCCTTCTAAATTTCCGTTGCCAGAGCCGCGGAGCACATTCCTCTGTGGCTGTGTTGACTGAACATGCGTGTCTGTGACTGAGCCTGAGAGAGCGGGATCTCTCTGAGTCTGAGCCTCTGCAGCAGCAGGAAACGGCCGCCACAGTGCAGGGTGCAGATTTACGGTATGCTGTTCAACGGTCACAGAGATAACTGTACTGTACAGTGTGGTAGTTTAGTGTGTGTGAGATAACAGCATAATGTTACAGTGCACACACACACACACACACACACAATGTGTTTTTGTGTAGTGCTGTGGCCGCAGATGGAGGAGTCCGGAGTGGGGGGGGGGGGGGGTTCACAGGCAGGTCGAGGCAGAGAGGCTGAGCTCGGCTTCTCGGTAAGTGCTCACTTTGGCACTCTCTCCTCACAAGAGTGTTTTGTGAAATTGGTCAAACCACCGTACCATCTATTGTGACAATTTTTAAGTCTTTGAACACAAGATCTGGAAATTCCTGAATGACAGAAGACAAGTAGAACCTGTTCAAAGAGTTGGCACAGTTACATTGGGTCATAATTTTTCATTCTGCAATAAAAACTATTAACACAAATATGAGTAATAAGCCAAACAGGGGAGTTTGTGTAAACACATTATTGCTGCAAATTGAAACCCTGATTAACATAGAGGCAGAAAACAACAAGATTTAACCCAGCTTCGTCCTTGGGGATCCAATGCATGCGGGAGTACTGCACTCTGCTCAATTAGTAAAGATACCAAAACACAGGCCAGCAAATGAGCAAGGACCAACACAGCCCAGCTGGTGTTGCTGTTTGATGGCTTAACACTGCTAACACTGCTCGCCCTGTCCAACCCAGAGATGACATCAGGGAGGGAGGGAGGGAGAGAGGGAAGGAGGAGGGAGAGAGAGAGCTCTGATGAAGGAAGCGGAGCATAACATATCCTTGGAACTGAAAGGGGGGTCTGTGCCTTTAAGAACAAATGCTGACTGGTTGCCTCTCCGCTCTCCCCCCCTCCTTCCATTCCTTTCCCTCTCTCAGCACTAGCCTCCTCCCTCCCTCCCTCTTTCTTTGGTCTGAGTGAAAGTGAAAAGCCACAGCTCCTTATCAGAGTGTTTACAGCCAGGGGTTTGTAGGCTATTAGGCAGGTCAGGTGACAGGGAGGCCGTGCTGCACCATGACCCAGACATCTCAGGGTGAAGGTTGCCTCAGGGGAGGGAGGGGGAGGGGGGGGAGGGTTTGCTGGTGGGAGGGGCCAGAGCCAGCCAGGCCAGAGGTAGATCAGTGGCAGACACACAGCCCAGCTAGTTCATTTAGTTCCTTGGAAGTTGTGGGAACATATGTTTTTGGTTCCACATAGGTTGTGGGAACGAAGCCATATGTTTCCTGACCTGTAAAACTGAACGTTTTTTAAAATGTTCTGAGAACAGAAGTGAACATTTCGCCTGTTCTGGGAACATTTATTTTTAGGTTTCAGGGAGGTTCTGAGAACGTTTTACTCTGGTTTCTTTAAAGTTTTATTACCGCTCTGAGAAGGGAAATTATAGGTTATTTGGAAGTTTTGGAATAACTTCCTTCAAACTTTTTATTCAAAACTTTCACTGAATGTTTCAATAAGACTTTTAATTACACCGCTAGCTTATTTTGGGTTTATTTTTTTGAACTCCAAGCACAGATAGGAAACATGGAAATTAATTCCCTCAGGCATTAATCATGCAAACATATTTATTTTTTATTGTGACAAGGCATCAGTGAGATTTGAACCTATAATCTTCTGTTCTCTATCGATGGAATTAGTCCAATACGCCACCAGGATGGAACTAGCATGACATGTTTTTTACGCTTACAAAGCTGTTCATTTTAGTCTATTCAAACAGACCCCATTTCAAAGGAAACAAGCACTCATTAAGATCAGGTGTGGCCAATTAGTGGGCGCGGCCAACACACGTGAACAAACGTAACAAGATAAAGGATAGAGAGAGTTTTGTTGATACTGAGAACAGAACAAATATGTTTTTAAATAACATGCTTAAAACATTCTCTTAACGTTACTAAAGTTTTTATGAAACATTTTCTTAACATTCTCGGAACAATTTGAGAACATGACTTTAAATAGAACCATGAGGAAACGTGTAGGAAACTTTATTCTGAAGTACTGAAATTCCTACAGAATAACATTGTTTCTTAACGTTCTCTGAACTATTTGAGAAAATTCCCAAAGCCAAACCAGTTGGCGAATGTTCCTAGAACATTACCAAAATTGAAATTAGATGTAACCACATTTGAACTTTTAGGAAACATTCTGTTAAAGTAATGAAATAAAGTTTTATTAAATCATGTTTTTTTGTCAAGTTCCTTAAATATGCTGAGAATTTTCCAAAGCCAAGTAACTATCCTGCACCATTCCCAGAAAGTTGTGGGAAGGTTGTATGCAAAATAACCATAGGACAACCACGCTCTCACCAAACTCTAAGAAACATATGGTTCTCAGAACGTTATGTGCTAGCTGGGATTGTTCTCAGAGCATTATGTGCTAGCTGGGAGCACACAGTTGAGGACAGAAATAATTTCCAGCACTAGCTCAGCTATCAGGCTTCCCTCTCTTCTCCCTCTCGCTGCCATCTTCCTTTTTCCATTCACCTCAGGAATAGCCATATTTATTCAATCTAAACGAATACAGCAGATTGACCAGGACATAAAGGTTTTCAGCTTGAGGCCTATCATATTCAGAGTCAAACATTGAATATATAGGGAAATTAAAGCAATTACTGATAATGTAGCCAACACAACACACACCCACTCGCAAAAAAATCACACCAGGACAGTGTGCATAGCAGGGAACCACCACAGGGTGGGCTGTACTGTACTGTACTGTATGTATATTGCAGGATGATATTGCTGGTGACATGATAGAAGGTAATGAATGAGAGCGTCCGTAGCTGCAGAGGGACGGTAGAAGTACAGTGTGTGAATCTGAGCTGTGGGGTCGCCGTCTGACAGGCTGTGTGGAGACACACACATATACACACACACACACACACCCATCACCCCCTCAGACTCACTCTCAATCATCCTGACACACTGACCGCTCAGATGCACACATAAACACACACTCCACACGCAACCAGGCCATAAAGAAGACCCTGTCTGTCTGCTCTGCTCACACACAGAGGGGCTGAGGAGGGTCTTCTGAAGTGCTGATTCCTAGCATTCAGTATCTTGTACAGCAAAATGATTATTTTACCTGCATATGGAGCCAATTGCTTCCCATAATATTTCGAAACTGTTTGCAGTGGCTGACAGTAGCAGATGATTCCTTTTTTATGATAATAATTGTATTTGATGACAGGCTTTGCTCCTCCCTGCCACTAAAGAGGTCTAATAGAACAGCCTATTTGCCTAATAGTGGGCACACAGGCCCGTTGTGTGTCTATCCTACTGGTTAGGGTTATGTGGGGTGACCTGGCAGGCTGGTTGAGACCCATGGCAGGGGCCAGGGTGGGGCAGCTCTTCCTTGGCCCCTGCCATGGGTCCCAACCAGCCTGCCAGGCCACCCCATTCTGAGCCAAGTAGCAGTGAGGATGCAGAGAGTGGCCCTGGCTGATGGCTGCTGGCTCGAGCCCTGAGAGGCAGCCTGCCTGCGTCCCTGTGCATCAGCTGGCGCCCAACTTTCCCCACTAACTACCAGGCTACACCCTTTTATTAAACACTGTACAGTTTAACACATCTCTGAGGCTGGCATTCGAAACCCATGCTCATTTAAAATTATTTACACTGTCAGGACTTGGTTCCAGTTAATTTCTCTCTTTCTCTCTCTCTTTTTCTCTCTCTCTCTTTATCGCCCTCTCCCTCTCTCTCTCTCTCTCTCTCTCTCTCTCTCTCTCTCTCTCTCTCTCTCTCTCTCTCTCTCTCTCTCTCTCTCTCTCTCTCTCTCTCTCTCTCGCTAACTATCCGTCTCTGTCTCTCTCTCAGGGCAGCAGGTAGCTTAGTGTTTAAGATCGCTGGCCCGGTAATTGAAAGGTTTCTGGTTCAAATCCCTGAGCCGGCAAGGTGCTAAAATCTGCTGTTCTGCCCTTGAGCAAGGCAGTTAACCCCCATTAAGGCAACCCCCCAGCACCTCTCTGATTCAGAGGGGTTGGGTTAAATGCAGAAGACACGTTTCGGTTGAATGCATTCAGTTGTGCAACTGACTAGGTATCCCCTTGCTCTCTCAAGACCAACTTCTACAGCTCTGTGACTCAGTAAAGTGGTTGTTCAAAAGATCATCCTCTGAGTCAACAGCTTTTCACTAGACACAGCATCTATGTATACTTCCTCCACTGACATGACACTGACGCACAAGGATATTTCCGTCCTGTAATCTGTTCCTAAGAATGATTTGCTGTTACTGTATGGGGGGAAATATATGAACTATTCTAAATGGTCAACAGTTGACTGACTTCTAAAACCTTTGATAAACACTAGTGAGAATGTGAGTGCAGTGCATTACCTCTCTCCTGTACGAAGTAGGCCAGGTAAAGGTCCAGCTCCTTGACCGAGACGCTGATGTGGTGTGGCTGGACACAGAGGATGGGGCTGTTGCATGGCCCCGCCTTGATCAGGCGTTCTCCGTCCGTGCTCTCCAGCGGGATGCCCTTGAACAGGATCACCATAACCAGGTCCAGCCTCCATACCTTGTCGGCCTGACGCAGGCAGTCGATCCTCCTCATCTTGCCCTTCTGGTCAGGATTGGAGAGGACGCAGCAGGGGGGCTTCTTCCCCGTGATGGACAGCACAAAGTCCTCGCGGCACTCGGGCCGGATGTCCTTGCGCAGTTTGGCCAGCAGGCGTGACGCCCACTTCTGCTTGACCTCAGGCTTCTCTCCCAGCAGCTCGTCCTTCACCGCCCGCTCTTCGTCCTTAGTCATCCTCTTCTCGTGCTTCTTGAAGTACTTGCGTTTGCGCGCCTGCAGGTTGAACCAGGTGTAGGCGAAGGCACGCACATGCGGCAGTAGGGCCTCGATGAACGGATGAAACTCATCCTGGAGAACAGGACAAGAGAAGAAAGGAGTGAGTACTACTGTATACGTAAATGTACCAGAAGCGAGCGACCATGCTGTATGAACCGCAACCTTTAACAGTGTATACAGTACGTGTGTATGGAACAAATGACTGTAAATAAAGAAAAGTGCAACCACACTCAGTGGAACACCACCACCAACAGTAATCATTTATTCAATTCTGTTTTGTTGATTATTTTCCTTCTTTTGGTCAGATTTTCAACAACCAAAATATACATCTGCATGCCTTTGGGGCACCTCACAAGCCACAGTTGCTTTGCTGTTTAGCGTATAACGATTGAGCAATGTTCTCTTGGTATCTCTAATTACTTCCATATTTTCACAGAGCAAAAAGCCCATATGCACTAGCCTGCCCTGTAAAAGGCATTCAGAGACCATTTGCACATATAACATGCAAAACGATATAGTCTAAAATGTCGGCATGGTGCCTACGTGCATGGGTTTGCGTGTCTGCAGGTTTAGCCAAACAATGTATAGACAAAGGTTTGTTTGTGAGCACATCATAGGCTATAAATGCATGAATAAGTATGTATGTGTTTGTTCATGCTCATGAAGGCCCATTAATTGAGTGCTTGTGTGCAAAGGGGTCATCCATCCAAATATAATAAAATGAAATTAGCACATACAAGCAGAGTTAAAGATTTATTGCGAGTACAGTGCTCAAATCTGTACAAGCCACTTCTCATGCTTCCCTTTTGGTTGTGTGTATTTGCCCTGGTGTCCATGAGGTTTAACCCTTTGTTGAATACCGATGTCACAATATCAACTCTCCAGTGATCATCATCTCTTTCAATCAACTGTAAAATTCCAAAATAGAACATTCTAGGATCTCCTTCCTCAAAGGGTTAATGTGTTGATTAATGGAGTCTTTATGGGCTGCTTGGTGTCCACACACAGAGGTTGGAGTGGAGTGTGAAGGTGCATCAGAGAGCCCATACAGGCCCTAGGAGCCGGCCCAGGGAGCGTAATTGGACATGACTGTGGTACACTGAAGAGCTCATGCAATAAACAGTCTGCAGCACTGCTCTCAGCAGCACAACATTTTAAATGCTTCCAGCTTTCTCAACCACGGCTGCCTGCTCCAAGCAGACGACATCAGTTTCAGATACATATTTTTTAATCATTCCTCCCACACCAACGTTTCATTTGATCCAGGGATGGCCAGTGTATTATTTTACTACTGTTTGCATTAAATAAAAGATGCATCATGTCCTTGAGGGCATTCTGTATGATAAGGTTTATGCTTTTTAAAGTTTAATCGTAATAAAGCATCTGTGGTGGCACAGAGAGAGCATCCTTTATTTAACGTTTATTCAGTCTGGCTTCACTGTGTTCCTATTCAGGACAGTTATAAAACAAATATATTCAAAGCAGCGACTCCACTGAGAACAGGAAACCAGATTTATACATTATATTTTAAACAGTAACAGCAGGATAAATTGTGTTTTCATGTCCGCTTCACTTATGTCAACTTTATATCTAAACAGGGTTCAAAGAAAACAGTCAGCTGTAATTTCGGGGTTCAGAGTCCTTTGTCTTGGCCTGCTGAATGCACAGTGCACATACACAAGTATGTACAATCAGGGGCGGAAGAGGGATCATGGAGAAGTGATAGAGTTACTGTGTAAATGTTCCAAAGCTAACAAATAGAGCAGAGAGAAACTCTCGTGATAGAAACCAGAGGCCTGGAAACAAGACAGACAATCTGTGGCTTTATGAATTTCCAAAAAGAGAAGGCAATTCAACAATGCCACGGGTACAACAAACTCTCATTATGTCTATTTAACGTTTAGCTCTCCAGTCAAGATGAAGAGAGATTAGCTTCCATTTTAGGCATTCATAATCATATGTATTTTAGCCAAATGATAACACCACAAAACGTTTAGAGGGAAAGACTCAAGATACAGTTTGAGTACAAGGCCAAGTCCATTTTCAATGTGTGCTATGCTTCTCAATTGGGTGCCTATTTAACAGTCTAGCCCACACAGACAAGACTCTTAACCATGGATGTTCCCCTGCCTGGCCCATGGATAGAGTTCCTCTCATTAAACACATTGAGCTGGAATATGAACACCAACCACACCTGCGGCAAAAGTAAACACTAATATACTTTAATTGAGGTTAGTTCATATTTTTGAAATATTTCCATGACATTTAGAGTGAACTCCAAACGTGCATTTCTGGATTTTAGGGCACGTCCCCCTTTTCCACTTATCCCTGCCTCCCCTTTTATGATGTTCTTATGTTTTCATAGCATCCACATACCCCCTAGCTACAGTATCCATCTATGCAAACTAGACTTTTACAGGCCCCTAATGGTAGCCTCTAGCCACACAAACGTGTCCCTCTTTCCCCTGTGCCCTACCGTCTCTCCGGCCCAACCCCACCCCAATACACACAGTTTTTTAAACTGTACAGGTGAATAGAGGTTTGAGACCATTATTTAAAAGTACCCATGAACCTAGCGGTGAAACAAGTGTTGCCTTATGGAATGTTAAGGTAGTAAACGTTATTTATAATAAGGGTTACAGGGAGAAAATCGGACCTCTCTGAAATGAAAATGGATGGCCCTCCCTTCAGCAAAATATATTTTTTACCTAAACCCTCCCTGAACGCTTGGAAAAAAACAAGTGACCCTCCCCTATACCCCAAATAATAATTAAAACAAAGTGGATAGCAGAGAACGTGTCTACCATTTACCCTCACTTCTTGGACAGACCAGAGCCTTAGATATGCAGTTTTAGAAACTGTTCTTCGTCCTGTAGCATTACATGGCAACACAGGAATTTTGATAGCGCACAGGGCTGCGGGCCAGAAGGTTGTGGGTTTGCAGACCACTGTGGACAAGAGTAGGGGTGGAAAGATCTCATTTATAGTAAAAGCATTGCATGAATATATGGTTGTATTTCCTGCAATTCTGTGTCATTTTACATATTAGCAGAATCTTTTTTAATACCACACAAGTTACCCAAATTACAGGCTAAGAATGGACAGAGAGATAGGCCTATGTGTTCATCTTATCATATTTCTCCCATGCCAAATCAGTGTGACTTGTTTGCAACGAAACTGTCCCTGTTTGCAAATAATTCAATCTGAGACGTCATTAGGAATCTGAGCATGTTACTTTCAAAGGTTAAGCCTACCTTTCCACCCTAGAATTTAAGCTTTAACTGCTGGCTACTCTTCTTCCGTGGCTTAACCCAGCAAGTGTAGGTCTTAAGTGTTTCCCTAAATGCTGTCTGGGTTTAAACATCTTCTATATAGAAAGTGAATAGCTTAATCAATTGATAGTGACAGAATTAGATTACTTCCAAAGCAAAGTCTATTTTCTGTCTCCTCGGCTATAGAAGGTTGTAGCTCAGCCTCTGAATGTCAAAGAAACGAAACAATGATATCCCCATATGCATCGGAGTCACGTCTTTCCCGGGTATTTTACAGCTTGTTTCTAGCATAAAGCATCACGGACCAAAGCGCTGTTATAGATCACTTTATATAATCTGATCCTTTTATTTTCTTCTAAATCTTAAACTAACAAGGGGTAGGCCTGTGCTTTTTGCCACCCTCTCATACCCCCTCAATTCGAGTTTTGATTTTAACTTAACAGCCTTCACTGACACAGAGGAATTGACAGACAAATCTTTGGACATAGCAGCCTATAGCCTAATTTCGTCTGTCAAACAGGTAGGCCTACCTCTTAATTCTTAAATAGGAAGACATAGACTCCAACACAAAACCCTCTTGTGGTTAGTAAAGTCTAATTAAAAATGAGTACGGTTGAAATGAATTATGCCTACTCAAATTTGCCTACTTTCAGCACCATGAGCTGATCATTTCCGATTGATTGTGCTGCGGCTGCTGCTTCAAGTTTCAGCACGACAATGTAAGTTATTCGAATCTGGCTTATTGTGAGTTCAATAACTCTGATAGATACCTAACGGGCAAGAAACATATTGTTTTCAATAACATTTTATTATAGTAGTAGCAAACTATCAAAGTTGACCTCCGGTCCTCCTTCTCATCTTCACGCTCTCCTTCTCAAACTGAACAGAACATAGGCTATAGCAGGGATCATCAACTAGATTCAGCCACGGGCCGATTTGTTCTTGAGCGGATGGTCGGGAACCCTGGGCTATAGGCTAGTCCGTGCACAAGATAGTGAATTTCTGGACTAGGCCTATCAAAAACAAATAGGCGCACTTGATATTGCGCGCCCAGTGGAGAATCAGAGATGAGGGGTGGCATCAGGCACACATCGATATACTGTATAGCCTAATAAGCAACTAATTCTAAAACGCTGAGAAATATAGACTTTTCATCAATTACAAATTACATGACCCTCCCCTGGACTAGATTTAAAAAATACTAAACACTCCCCTTGACTGAAATTGAAAAAGCATGACCCTCCCCCATTTTCCTCCAGGTAACCGATCTGTAAATGTCGATCCATCCCTAACTACAGAATGAAAGACGAGAATGAAAAAGCTGTGCAGAGTAAAGGAGTGGAGTGAAGAAGTTGAGAAGCAGGCCCACTCTCTCCTTTCCATATTAGGCCTGGACCCGCTCCAATGGAATGCTCTGGTTTTCCTACAATCAAAATCAAAAGGTTGCCTTGACTTCAGATCTGTTTATACTCTGACGATTAGAATGTTATTGATAAACAGAGGTGATGAATGTGTTCCCTATGGCAGACCAACTGCAGATCTTTGATCAGAGCCTGGGTCTGATGGCAGCTCAGCTTAGAGCAGAGGCCTGCTGAGATATCTGTCCTGTGCACCTATCTCAGTTTGGTCATTCAATAGTATATACTGTTGGCTACTGACTGGAATCAGAGTGGCCAGAAATAACCTGAGTCCAGAGCCCTGCGCACAGAGGAAAGACATGACCATCACAGCTGTATTTGTGCAGTAATTGAATCATTTTGTTATTGCAGAGTCCAGGGAGATGTGTTTTTATTCCTGCTCGTTGCTCGGATACCATTTTTATTATGTCTTAAACAGAGAATGTAATTTCTTTGCAAATCTTTTTCAGAGGAGAGAGGAATCGGTAGTGGGGTTGGTCTTTCTAGCGGATGAGAGAATGGTGGAGTTGTGGTCAGATGCACAATGTTGCCATGGTCACACTTTGTGCCAAGCACGTGTCACAACCCAGGCAAACAAGGAGAGGGGGAAAAGTATTCTTACAGGTGATGAAATAACAAATCTTAGCTGTGGAACTTTCAAATGACTTCTACAGAATCTACCACCTTTGTCATCAGGAAGGCCTTACCCTATTTTACATTGTGAATATTGTACGTACGGTATTATAACATCAACTTAAACTGAAGAGCTGTATTTTCTTTCCATTTTCTCTTTATCCAGGCAAGTGTGATGTTGAATTTATTAAGCTCTGAATGTATGCCTTTCTAAGCTTTCATGACAAGGATTCCTCCCTGCCCACTG